GCTCATATGGCACGACAAATTGAAGCCACTCATGCCTGGATGGAAAGTCTAATTCACCAAACAAACTTCATGCATGGAGAAGAAGCAATGACAAGACTTGGTGGTCCAATTGCGTTATTGAAAGCACAAGCAACACAAACATTTGAATATTGTGCTCGAGAAGCTGCTCAAATTTTTGGCGGTTTATCTTACTCTCGTGGCGGGTGCGTGAATAAAATTTATTTTTACATTTGACTTTTTAATTAAAATTGTGTATTAATTTATTTATTTTTGGTTATTAGTCAAGGTGAAAAAGTCGAACGTTTATATCGTGAAGTGCGTGCTTATGCAATTCCTGGTGGTTCTGAAGAAATTATGCTCGATTTGGGCATTAGACAATCTCTGAAAGTTGCACAGTTCTATGGAGCCAAACTTTAATAGTTTTTTTTTTAGAATAAATAATTTTAGATGTATCTATTACTCACTCCAAAATTTTATGAAATTAAGATTATTTGAACTATACTAAATTTTCAACAAATTAATTTGAAAGTTAAATCGCATTTATTTAAGTTTTAACGAGTATTATTTTAATAAATTTTTTTTAAATCTTTATTACTACATAACATTCTCAAGTGACAATGAGTCAAAATGAAATTCGAATGAAAGTCCTAATACAGACGATGCTGCCTAACTGCATATAGACAGTGTACTGTACTGTATAGGATTATTTGTGTTCAGATAAAATACCTTACGCCACAGACCTCATAGGAGGACTTCCGTATGATCAGCTGACGTAAATCAATTGCCCGGGTAACTTGTTTTCTGAGAACGTAATGTTTCATTATAATAGTACCCCCGTGGCTAAATAAGTGTCGTTAAAACTGTAAAATGGGATTCTACTTGAACTAACCCGGTATGATTGGACGAAATAGACAGGTAAGACCGTTGATGTTATACGACTGATTTTTCACACGGTGTGCAACATGTAAAAAAATAATTTTACAATACTAGATCATTCCGCTAGTACATGTTATGATTATAATCTAACGCCATTTTTATTAGTAAAAATGGTGTTTGATTATAATCATTATTTTTTTACATGTTGTACTCCGTGTGAAAAATCAGTCGTATAACATCAACGGTCTTACCTGTATATACAGGATCGTTGTTATTGCTTATCATTTCGCGTCGCGACCTTATTATCTGGCATAATTTTTGTCGATCATGTCGCTCTATCTTGTTGATCTTGTCGTGTAATCTTAAATAAACCATATTCTTTTTCGTAGTAATTCAAGCTTGTAATAGTTTTTTGATTATGAGTT